CTAATTTTTTGTATTTTTAGTACAGACGGGGTTTCACCATGTTGACCAGGATGGTCTCGATCTCTTGACCTCGTGATCCACCCGCCTCGGCCTCCCAAAGTGCTGGTATTACAGGCTTGAGCCACCACACCCGGCCTGGAAAAATGGCTTTTAAGTTCATAATAGTTGCTGGTTCTTGGTAGGTGACTGACTTGAACAACTTTCTCTGCCTACCCCATGTTTGCGGCCACTGCCCTTTCTTTGTTTGAGGCATGAACAAGAACTTTTTTTTTCTTTTTTATTAATTGTCAGTATTTAATATAATGTGAGCAAGATTTTTTTTTTTTTTTTTTTTTTGAGACAAAGTCTCGCTCTGTTGCCCAGGCTGGAGTGCAGTGGCATGAACTCGGCTCACTGCAACCTCCATCCCAGGTTTTACCGGATTTAAGCGATTCTCCTGCCTCAGCCTCCCGAGTAGCTGGGGTTACAGGTACGCACCACCACACGCAGCTAATTTTTGTATGTTTAGCAGAGACGGGGTTTCACCATGTTGACCAGGCTGGTCTGAAACTCCTAACCTCAGGCGATCTGCCCACCTTGGCCTCTCACAGTGCTGGGATTATAGGCATGAGCTACTGTGCTGACCCTGAGCAAGTTTGTGGGGTTTTTTTTTTTTTTTTGTACTTTAGATTCTGGGGCACATGGGCAGATCATGCAGGATTGTTGCATAGGTACCTACATGGCAATGTGGTTTGCTGCCTTCATTCTCCTGTCACCTACATCTGGCATTTCTCCCCATGTTATCCCTCTCCACTGCCCCACTGTGTCCCCCTTGCCCCCCTCCCACAACAGACCCCAGTGTGTGATGCTCCCCTCCCTGTGTCCATGTGTTCTCATTGTTCAACACCTGCCTATGAGTGAGAACGTGCAGTGTTTGATTTTCTGTTCTTGTGTCAGTTTGCTGAGAATTATGGTTTCCAGATTTATCCATGTCCCTACAAAGGACATGAACTCATCGTTTTTGATGGCTGCATAGTATTCCATGGTGTATATGTGCCACATTTTCCTTGTCCAATCTATCGTCGATGGGCATTTGGGTTGGTTCCAGGTCTTTGCTATTGTAAACAGTGCCGCTGTGAAGATGTGTGTGCATGTGTCTTTATAACAGAATGATTTATAATCCTTTAGGTATACCCCCAGTAATGGGATTGTTGGGTCAAATGGAATTTCTATTTCTAGATCCTTGAGTAGGTGCCACACTGTCCTTCACAATGGCTGAACTAATTTACACTCCCACCAATAGTGTAAAAGTGTTCCTTTTCTCCCCATCCTCTCCAACATCTGTTGTCTCCAGATTTCTTAATGA